TCCTTTGTTGTCATCTTTGTTGCCGTAAGGAGATAAGTCACAAGTTAGTTTCTTTTGAGTTTTTCAATTGACAAATATTTGTATTTGAATATATATTAATGCCCATTTTTTTATTATTTTTTTAACATCTTCAGATTATACCAGCGTAAGTGCCGCCGGACACAATGGCAAAGAATCGGAGGGATGTCGTACCCCGACGGGAATTGAGTTCGATGAGAATTAGCTGCGATGGGGATTCTTGACGACACAAATTCTCATGACTACCACCATATCTGTTGCCGCTATATTGTACGCTTCAATTCAATGATCTGCGAAAAAAATCAGGCTTACTATTTTTCTTCTATCTTCACTGCTTGATATGTCAGGTAATTGCTTAGCATTAACCTAATTGATTAGAGTTAGCATGTGTCTGTTTATTTTGGAAAAAAAATTCCATAAAGTTTTGACATATTTTTTTTTTTTTTTTTTTTTTTTGTGATTTGCAATTGAATTTTGAAGGTGATAAATCAATAACTGTGAAGACGAGATTAAAAATGGATACAATTCATGGTTGGTGCAACTATTCTAAAGACTTGTTGTGAGTTGCTTTTGATTTGTGGGTAAAAAAAATTGAAGATGAAAGAAGATGCAAGAAATTATATTTGTTGTCAGCGACTACGGGACAAGGTGTATATGAACTCTCCATTTAAGCAGCCGTTAGGTGCTTCACGTGTTGTAAGTATCCTTTTCAAATTTTATTCATTAGGAATTGTTTTTTATGTTGAGTGATTTTCTAACCTTTGTTAGCTTGGATGTTCTGAATGTGAGGTATATGTGTTTGTGCACGTGTGCCTCGGGTGATTCCTTCTGCGGAAGAGAGCTTCACAACCGGGGTCAGGCTGAGGCTTTCTTTTTGTGACATACAACCTGGGGATATTGCCGACGAAACGTGGTTGCCGGTCTTCACCACCACCGAGCCGAGACTCACAGAGGGTGCCGGAAAGAAAGACTCGCAGGGAGACTTCGTGTCTCTTCGTTTTCCGGGCTGATTTTGGCCATTGAAAGGGGGATTCAACTATTTCGTCCATTATCTTTATCCCAGCATTTGTTATTATTTAATTTCCCTTTTATTCAGCTGCTATTGACTGAAAATCTCTTTGTGGTTGATTTACGCTCTAATCGGATGCGTAAAGGGAGCATTCGATTCAGCCCGGGGTTGTTCGAGAGTTGTCTGAGAGGCACATGTGACAGGAAGCGCCTTGTACAGAACTTGACGGGCTGATGAGCCTGGAAGAGAGCTTCCGCTGGTAATCTTCATCTTTGCCATTTTAGCTACTGTAATTTCTTTAACACATAAGAATTTGGAAATATAATTGTGAATTCACACTCACATATACACGCACTAATGTTAATAACACATCGTTCATGCGCATTACATGAAAAGTAGCTAAAACTCAAAATTTTAACACCATTTCATTGCATCATAACTGATGATTAACAATTTTCATATTATGAATTTCTTATGCCATCTGTTGAATGTCATGCCGCAGAAAATAACTGTCGTGATTGGATGTCAGGTTCTTTGTCCATGTTTGAGCGTTGTTTATCAGATTACAGTGAACTGTCATTTTATTAGTTATTTATTTATAAATTTTACTTGCGCTAGGATGAAGTTGATGACATTAATTAGTCCTACTGGTTTTGGGATTATTTTTCATTGTTACTTTTTCATCTTTTTTTCTTCTTCTGGGTTTTAAAGGTACGTCTTTTTTTTGTGTTATTATTATTTTCACATGTTTTATTATTTCTTCAGTGTGTGTGTTCTTTTTAATCTCTGTTTGGAGTAAAATAAAGAAAGAAAGAAAAGCTATAGATGTGTGAGGATGTGTGTGTTTAATGTTCACTGGTTGACGGACAAGTGTTCTGGCTATCTTTGTGGATGTGATTATTCAACTAATCTAAGGTAAGTCCTCCATGATATCATTATTTTACTGAAGAGAAAAAACATGAATGATCTCTTTATTTATCCAGACATCTTGTGTGCTGCCTAATTATATCTTACAGGATAATTGTAGTTATTTTGATTTGCAAATTCTGAGGCTAAAATTTTTCTCAACAGCTTTGTGTCGTCCCCACCAATGAGCCAGACCCTAACGGAAAATTGCTATGGTTGGAATGAACGAGTTGTCATCAGAAATGTAAGTGGATGCTTTTAGATGTCTTTTTTGTTTACGTTTTCATTAGCGTCAGCTTCTGAGTCAATTAGGCCCGATGATCGGTCCCTTGGTAGATCTAAAGATACGACACTTGTGCTTGGTTAGTCAATATGTCATTCACATCCTTTTTTCATGCTACCTTTTCCATTGTGTTCGATAAAAAGTCACGTCCCTGCTCAAAACCTTACGTTCCAAATTGTAGGCGCTGTTGCAACTGCTAATGGATCATAAATGGAGCGGTCTTGAAAAGCGCCAAGCAGTGCTGGTGAGAATCTAAATTCTCCGGTGTTGCTTTATTCTTCTAATGTTTGGTGCTTTCATTTTTTAATTCTTGGGTGTTGCTTTATTTTTTCACCACCCCTGCTCCTCGCGCTCACGCCTGCTGGCTTCCTCGGGATCGGAACGCCCGGCTTGCGTAGCTCCGCTGTATGAGAGCGGGCATCGAGTCATCTTGGAGGCGTGGTGCACAATTGAGTCGTTTTCTGTTTATTGTTGATATTTTTCTACATAATAGTCGTACATCCACATGTCTTGGGTGAGTAGAATAAGATTATTAATAAAATATTCCTTTGTGTATGCACCTATTACCTCTGGAAGCAGTCCGGAGACTTTCCATTTTCCCGCGATTGATAACTTCATTGTTCTATATTGTGTTCAATGACCACTTTGCTATTGTTAGAATCAGAGAAAACATGTTTGATGGAACTTTTTATGTGGTTGTATGTAAACTGTTGACGTGCAGAAGATAATTTTCTGGTGATTGGAATTCAAGACTTGAGAGTGTAAAATGCTAAAAAAAAATCGAAGAGATTTGTAGAGAAAATAATCACGACAGACTGAGATTTGGAGGCTACAAACATTGGGCAAAATGGAAATTGGAAAAATTAACTGGAAATAAGAATGGCAGAGTAAGATTTTGATGGGAAGAAAAATTCGGTGGAAATTTTGTCTGTACAGGAATTGAACGCGCATGCCGCAGGTTGGAGAAATAACGTTCACAAAAAGATGTCGTTTTGGTGAGGCGACGTCGCTTCATAACAGGAGGCGGGTCACGTGTTATCTCTTTTAAAAACTAAGACCTCACTTCAGGTTTGGGATTTGATGTTATATTTATGTTATTCGTTATCTAAAGACTGTAACTGGGACCGATGGTGGAGACAAGAAACATGGGCGGCGTAAGCATCTGGTATGAGCGTTTTTTGTAGTTGGCAAAATTAGTAATTGTCAATATTTAAGCACATATTTTCAGAGAAGTTATATATAAGCAGTAGTTCACCGTTTAGATAGTCTTGCACTTTATTAATTTTCTTTTCCTTCTTATTGTGTTTAGATAAACCTCTGGAGAAGGAGGGAATCCATTGGACGAAGAAAGGAAACGGATGGTTAATATCCATTCGGGTAGACCAAAACTTGATCCAAGTAGTATGAGTTTCTCTAGCAAATGAACTTATTAAAACCCAAGTAGTTTTTAATTTTATGCTACTATATTAAAGTTGTTACAGTAGTTAAAAACCAAAATAAAACTAAAATGTTTATAAGAGTTATTACCCCATTCTTGACCTTTTCTTGATTACTTTGATATAGGAGTTTGATGTACTGATAGTTTTAGATGCTAATTTATGTGGTAACTTTTGTGACATTTTATTTATGGTTTCAATGTATTATTTTTTATATTATTTCTCAATTACAAAATAATATTCTAGCTTGAAAAAAAAAATAACGTGGGCCGGCCGTGCTGGCACGGCGAGAGCCATCTAGTATTATAATATAACACAAGTAAATTGCAAAAGTAACAAGTATCATTCTAAAATATATAATAATATATATTTTTGCAAGTATTTAAATTTTTAAATATTTTTTTTCATTAATTTTAAATTTTTATATTGGGCCATATTAGGCAGGCCTGTTTTCTTTTCCCTGACCCGTCGCGGCCGGCCTTTCCGATCCCAAAACAAAGATAGTTCTGCTCTCTTTTTTAGGTCATTCAGATTAGTCCTCATTAAAACAACCAAGTAAGCTAGGGTTGTAAAATCCCAGAAGCGAAGCTTAGACTAGGGTTGTAAAATCCAAAAGAGGGAAGGTTTAAGCTTCAAGAACACTATGAGTTCCAGTTGGCCTAGTGTTCCTGTCTCTGCGGGTTTTAATCCGGCTGTGGCTGCGGGTCCGACACTGGCTGCGGGTTGCCCCCTATTTGCTGTACCCATCCATCCACCCCCATTTGGTAGACCGGTAAATTTTTAAATTTTGTATTGTTGTTCTGTTTTATTGATGATATTGATGAAAAGAGACCACCCCCATTTGGTAGACCGGTAAATTTTTAAATTTTGTATTGTGGTTCTGTTTTATTGATGATATTTATGGTGATATATTGATATTGATGAAAAGAGACTGTTTGATGTTCAGTTTTTGTTTGTATGGTGGTGTTTTTGAAAACTTTAAATGGTAAAGGGTCTGTTTAAGTGTATCATGCTTATGGATTTGTATATTTAAAGGATCTGTTGTGTGAAATGATACTTGTTATGTGAAATGATACTGGCTGGCTTGATGTGGCTCTGAATAAGTGTATGATTTGTGCATGGCGAGCCTCTTAGAACAAGTGTCATATATAGGCTGATATATATATATATTTTTTTATCAGGTCCCTAGGCCTTTTTGGGCTCATTTAACGCTCAAATACATGACTACGTTTGACTTGAAGAAACTGGAAACGGAACAGAATTGGGTCTCGGCAATCTCGCTCAGCAGGAACGTCTGTTAGTTCATAATGTTTGTAACCCAGCCTGTTGCACCCCGCTCGCTTTTAACATGAGCCGCATACGTAATTTCATAAGAGAAAATTACGCAAATGCCCTTCATCCTCAAATTCGCGGCTATCTTCAAGTGGTGTTTCCAGACTTGGCCCGTCTATATCAAGCGAATTGGACCGATTACGATCGATTGATGAATGATGTTCGTAATTGGATCTATGCCTATCTCAAACCCATGTTTGAGATGGGTATGGGTTTTGTGGAGTACATGTATTTGGTAGCGACGGCGATGAACAACTTTTCAAGTAAGCAGTTAATGCAGAGTTATTAAATAACATTCATATTTATTTTTTTTTCCCTCACTTCTCTTTCTTGTTTTTTCCCCAGACATTCCAATGCCAATAGGAGCAGGACAAGTTGTCAACAAAAAAAAATGATCTGAACAATCCGCACATCTATGGAAACACCACCCAGCATATTCATGCTTTACAGCTACACTGGTTTCAACCTGTCCTGCCCACTCCCCGCTTTGCGATTCTCGACGATGTGAGAGCTCTCATTAATTTGGCGGGAAACATTTATCCAAACCCTTCGATAAGGTTCCTTATCGAGATGGAGGGATATTTGAAATCCCTCCATTTGACATCCTTCCCGTTTGAGAAAGATCCTCTGGTACTACTACTCTGTGAATGTAGATGACTATACAACAACATAGCCTTTAATCCCAAGCTATGTTGTTGTTGTATAGTCATCTACATTCACAGAGTACCAGAGGATCTTTCTCAGACGGGAAGGATTGATGTCAAATGGAGGGATTTCAAATATCCCTCCATCTCGATAACCAAGGAACCTTACCGAAAGGTTTGGATAAATGTTTCCCGCCAATCAATGAGAGCTCTCACTTCGTCGAGAATCGCAAAGCGGGGAGTGGGCAGGACAGGTTGAAACCCGTGTAGCTGTAAAGCATGAATATGCTGGGTGGTGTTTCCATAGATGTGCGGATTGTTCAGATCATTTTTGTTGACAACTTGTCCTGCTCCTATTGGCATTGGAATGTCTGGGGAAAAAACAAGAAAGAGAAGTGAGGGAAAAAAAAAAAAATGTAGTTGCTTTTTGATTTACAAAACTTTGCTAGAAAAACAAACTATGGTTATTGTTGCTGCAAATGGTTCAAGCAAACTATGGTTATTTTGTAGCTGCTAATGGTTCAAGCAAAGTATGGTTATTTTGTTGCTGCTAATGTTTGGTTATTGATGGTGATGGATTATGTTTATGTCATGTAATGGATGGTTATTGATGCTGCTAATATATGGTGATGGATTATGTTTATGTGTCATGTAATGGATGGTTATTGATGCTGCTAATATTGCCACGTGTAATTTTCTTTTTGTCAAAAATGCGGATTAATAGTTTTATCAAGTCAAAGGTTTTTAAATATTGTAAATGCTTAATTCATGTTAGTGGTATCTACAAAAATCTTTCATCCTAACCATACAATTAGCACCATCCCACAGTAAAATATCCCCTTCTCTTTCACTCTCATCAATCTCTAAGTCCTCATTTGTCGGCAGCTATGGCTATAAACGAGTTGAGCCGAGCTCGCTCGTTAAATAAACGAGCCAAAAATCAAGTTCGAGCTCGGCTCGTAAAGCTTGGAGCACGAGCCTTAACGAGCTGATCTCGAGTTATAACTAATCAAATTATATAATAATTCTTTTTTCGAGCCTTATCGAGTCGAGCGTTAACCAAACGAGCTTTAAATGAGTTCTGAACTCGGCTCGTTAAAGCCTCGAACTAGAGCCAAGCCGAACCAGGCTTGTTTAATATAACAGCACTACTGGCAACTAATCGGAGAAAAAATGTCGTTGAGGCAGCAGTTCAAGGAGTCGCACATACTGATAAAGCACGAAGGATCCCGCGGGAAATCCTCCTCGAAGGACTCGAAAGACCGTCGTGTCTCTCACCACCACCAGAGACGAAAGACCGCCGTGTCTCTCACCACCACCAGAGACGTCGTCGCCCAGCTCAAAACCTTTCGCGACAAGGCGAGGTTCGAAGACGTCGCCTCTCGATTCACAACTCTCATTTTCGCTCATAAAAAATATGGCATCCCAAAAATGGATTGCATTTTTTGCCACAATTCTCATCTTAAACATTTTACTTTATCCACGTATCTTTGCCATTTGGGTTCACATTTTAAACAAATTTTATTAGTTGTTCATCAACTGATGATTCGGAGAATAAGGACCTTAGTCATTTTCAAGAAAAAGATGATTAGTAGTTGTGTCTCATAATTCCTATGATATAATAACAATTGTTGGTTTTTACCTTTTTCTTGGACACAGACTACTCTTTAAAAATCAGGGCAATGCAAAAGAAAAATTATGTTACATTGAATATAAGTATAAGTTGTGATCGATCTGGAAGAACTGCTAAAGCGACCTAGCAGCACAAAAAGAAATAGTGGGCTCAATGCATATCAGGACCTACATTATGAGCAAGGATCTTGAGGGCATTCAGATGAATTATGTTTTGGGGGTTAATGTTTCTTTGTATTAGTTTGATAATGTATGCATTCAGTTTATTACTAATTTTTATCATGATTTTTTTTAGCCATTTTGAAATGCAAAACGTGAATTTTGGCAAAAATATGTTTTTTTTGCCATTTTGTCACATAAAGAGACAACAATGCCCTTACTTTCNTCCCTCATTCTCCTAATCTATCTCTCATTCATTCACTTCCTCTCTCTTCCCTTATCTCTCTTCTCCCAATCTATCACTCTTTCTTCTCCTCCCAATCTCATTCTCTCAATTTTCATCTCTCTTCTCCCAATCTATCACTCTTTCTTCTCCTCCCAATCTCATTCTCTCAATTTTCTTAAAATTCCGGCAACATTTCGATGAAACTACGGCGACATCTTGAAAATATTCATCGAAAATGTATGTTTATAGTTTATCATGTTTTCTTTTTTTACTAGAACATTTTGAGATGGTTATATTGATATATTGTGGGCAAATAAATGTGTAAATAGTAATTAAGTAATAATATTGTTAAGTAATAATATAGTTTGTATGATAATATAATATAATATATAGGGGGTTCACACGGGTCATTTTGCTTTGATTTGTGTTCGCAACAAGGAGAATAAGCATATGCGATTAGTTTTTTTGTTATACTTTGGTTTGTGTTAGGCAACAAGGAAAATAAGCTTATGGATTAGTTTTTTGTTATAATGTTTAATAGTTGGACAATCATCCTCTTTCAATAAACTTACATTTATATTAAAATGTTGTAATATATTATACAGTATAATAAAAGTGTAATGTTTCGTAATATGAATATTTATTTTTTATTAAACAAATATATTAGTCAGACCAATTGCAGCATTTGTGACTAACAAATAAAAATCAAGTAGGTTGGCTTGATGAAGGGCATTTCTCAGTAGCTTGCATTGTTATATTTTAAAATTTTAAAATATAAACTTCTACCGTTATGTTTAAAACTATTTAACCATAATTACTTTTTAGTCTCTTACACATTTTCATTTATATTTTATTTGGCTTAACTTTATGATAAAACAATATTTCTCTATATATTAATACAAATCTTTTTAAATCTGAAGTCATATTAATTACATTTACCATTTCTATATTTAATTTTTCTGGAAATCTCATTGCATGAGTTTTGCGGCATTCGAGTAAGTCAATGCAAATGACTTCAAACTCTAGCTTCTTCTCAGTCAGTCCTACATCAGCTTGATTTTAGGTGATGTCATATTTTTCTGTAATATTCTAAGATTCTCCTTTTCCCCCTTCATCTTCTTCTTTTACCAATGATGAAAAATAGAACACGTATTTATTGAAAAATGAAACCACAGTAGCAGATTGACCATATTTTACAAACCTAGAGGCAATTTAAGATTAGTCGTAACTCGTAAAAGCATACCATGGAGTCTTGAAGCTGGACCGGAGCAGTATAGTTTCAGAAAGTAACAACCTTTAGAGTCAGTAATTTAAATATCTTACCAGTTAGATAATTTGAATAGAAGTTGACAAAGTTTGAGATCAGTTATGTACTTACGGGACCAGTTGATACTAGAATATCCCAACATAGTACCTAGTCAGAAGGCAACATTAATGAGTTTAAGGTCAAAAGTAATCAATTGCGAGAAGAAGTATGAAAGGGCATGTGAGGAAGAGTTGACATCAAGATGTTTGATTTCTCAAATCGATTAAGCCATATAATAAGTATTGGTCAGCCTTCTAGAGATCATTAGTACTCACTTGCGACCAGAAGCAAGAAAGAGCTTGTTTAACCGGAACTCTAGCACAAGCTAGGTGTTTTCGGCAAATCATTGACAAATTCCTTAAGTTTAGTGTAGCTATTTATTAGTAGCTATACTGTTCAAGTTAAATGGTTAGTGGTTATTCAGAATGCTGCTAGGCAGAATTTCAAAACAACCACAGAGCAAAGTTTTAGAAGTATAGAATCCGGACTGAATCAAGAAGTTTTCTCAGTCAAGAATCAAGTAGTATTGATATGTGAATCAAGCATATATCAGAAGAAGTATACTTTCGAAAAATCAATATACTGGAAAGATAGAAATGCTAGTATCATTGAAAGTCAAAAGTAGACAAAGATTGGTGTAGATTCAAGCACACTGTTGAGGATATTATTATTACTAAGAAGCTAGTACAGAAATATCAGATACATAAAAGTAGTAGTAAATCCTCAACAAATACACGATAATATTACATAAAAGGAGGGTGCGTCTCAAGAGTACAAGACTCCTTAACTCTACTACCCATCACAGTTATTCGGGTTTATAAAGATAAATCCATGGGATCAAAAGCTCGCTTGCGCTTAATCCCTTGAGTTCCCACAGAATCTTGAGAAGTGATGTTTTCTTGAAGTTTCTTGATAAGTCCAACAGCAGTATCTGCACATTTGAAGATCTCTCTAGTGGAATCAGATATAAAAGTCTGAAATAAACTTTCATCAAGAAAACCAAGAAAACCATTGAAGAAGTGATGAGAATTTAATAGACCAATAGACTTATTATGAAGTTTCATGTTTGACCATGAAGCAATAGTAAGCATGGTCATTAAAGTTCCATAACCGCCAGGAAGTATGATGAAAGCATCACTTAAGCATGGTCATTAAAGTTCCATAACCAACAGGAAGTATGATGAAAGCATCACTATGGTTCACCATAAACATAGTGCAATCATAAATAGAGTTGGATAGCATCAGATTGGCAGAATCTTTGATGATTTTTGTTGGAGCTCTATGGAAAGGTAAGACACTTTTAACTTCAATATTAAAGCATTTTCCAGCCATGAGCAGATTATCAAAGAAGGTAAGGCTAGTTCCTCCATATTGACGTTGTGTTTTCCTAGTTCTCTAACTAATTGGAATACAATATCAATATTCTGAGAAGAAGATACAAGTTTAAGACCACGAAGAACACATATAATTTTTATGGATGGAAGAACTTTAGTAACTTGAGAAGATTCAAAAGTCTCAATTTGGAGTAGAGAGATAATTGATTAAGAGAAATGATCGGTATATTTAAAAAGCAAGTTTATGAAGAGATGAGTATTATATTTGGTGTGTTCATTTATCCCATATCTATCGGGAAGGAAATTTCTCGACGGATAAGTTAGCTTCGCTAGCTGTTGATATCCCGGTTGGTTATCATCGCCTTTCGACCCCGCCACGGGATCTTGGCCATTGGCTGGAGCATGATATCGTAGGCGTGGCTCACCCACGTCGGGTGATGATTTAGTGTCGCTAGGCTTCGGCCTCTTATCTTGTACCAAAAAAAAAAAAAAAAAAAAAAAAGCAGTCCTTCACCATCACATTCTCCAGTAGAAAAGAGTAGAAAAGAGTTACAGTACTTAAATCCCAGTGCACAATGAATAAGTCCTCGTAAAAGCACAAAGTTACAGCAGCATACAGATAAATCCCAGCTTTCTACTTCTTTAGATACACGATATTACTGCAAATTAGAACTGACCCCCGGATTTTCATAGCAGAAAGACCTAGAGATAAGACGAGTGGTCATAATGTACAGCCTTCTGAACTTCCGGTAAAGCTGATGCATATCTTCACAAAAAGAGCTATATGCAGCGTGAGAAGTAAGTCTGGCCCACATAGCCACCACTCATGGCTCTCCTGACGTTCGATTCGAACATTTTTGGGTTATCTCTCAATACTGCAGCAGCATCATGATTGAGAGGATCCTCGTGGTTCGGTTCCTACGCACAAAAAGAGATTCGTAATATAAATATGAAGATAAAAGAGGAAGAATTTTGAGCAAAAAAACTACAAATGAGTACCGTGAAAAGGTGATAGAGTCCATAGATGATGGTGTTTATGTTCAGCACCGGTTTCCAGTCTTCCCTGAGGATGTTTAGGCAGACATTTCCTTCTAAGTCGATATTGGGATGGTAGACCTGTAATTTATCTGAATTGTAAGCATGACATTATATAATAAAGTGGCCACAACATTACATGGAAACATACAGACTTTATTGGTATTAGTATTAGTATTACCTTTGTCTTGCATTTAACCTTTGGAGCATCATGAGGATAGATGGGAGAGATTTGGAACGAGAAAACAAATGTTCCACCCCTGGGAAAAAAGGTAATCGTGTCGGTAAAAATTGCACAAGAAAAAAGAAAAAGGAGGAAACAAAAAAAAAAAAAGCATTTGCTCAGTGTCCAAGTACTTACATATAATATCCCTCATCAGGGCGAATGGTAACTTCAAAATTCATGAGGTCATCCTTGCCATTAGGGAATGATATGCTACATGTTTTCGGCAGATTCAGTTCGGTAATATCTGCATTCCGAAAACAAAAACAAAAAAAAAATGGAATTAAAGAAAGTCGTGTTAAATGGATGAAAGAGGCTTCCAGAGAAGACGTATACATACAATCAGCAAATTTGAAGTCTGGAATTTATAATGGACACCCTTGGCACTATGCATTTGCAGATATCTTTATGCAACCGCATTTAAAAAATAAATAAAAAATAAAAAAATAAATCAGGCAGGTAGGTTTGCAATAGTTCCCTTGCAGTTATGTCAACTTTGTCCGAAGCCAAAAGGAGTTTATGGAATCTTCTAATAATATTTTTTAAGAACAATCTTACATGTACCAGATCAATTTAGAAAAGAAAAAGGAAGTCCAGAAAATATCTCTGACTAACATTAAGAGAAACCAGTTCCAGATTGTAGAACACAACAAATCCCACAAGTGACGAATACATGATGGATATGCATTTGTGAATCATTTAGAAAGTGGGTTAGGTCAAACAACAATGTGAGTTTCAAGCATTAATTCTTTTGGAGTTCATCTCAAATGAGCGGCAAGTAAAGCATGGTGAACACAGAATTCTCTCGGATGGAAAGCATGGCAATGAAACAGGACCATAAATGATCAACCTTACCAAATGGAGGATACCACACATGTTACCTATCTTCACGAGTTATAACATTAAAAAAGAAAAAAAAAATCTATCACATAGGAATGCGAAAACAAAATTTGATCATTGAAAAACAAACCTAAGTAAACATAATCAGCTAGCAATTCAATTTATAGTTTAATAATATTAGTTACTCACAGCCCATTTCAACCCCCCACCAATTATGCTTAACACCAACATAGTGTTAGCCAATTCTAGAAAATCACCCAACAGATTTTTCTCGCAAAGCATCAATCTCAATATTGCTAAGCACAGAATTCCATATACTGCAAAAAGGTGTTGCAAAAACAAATGAAGAAATGAAACAAAAATGGTCTTATACACATATCGATGAAAAAGTGAAAAATTCAAACAGCATTAACATATAAGAATGAAACAGACCTTTCTGAAGACGCAATTCTCCAGCACTTTGCTTCTTGCCCAAAGGCTTTCCGTTAGCACTTTCAGCAAGTTCTCTCTGCTTTTGCTTTACTTTAAACAACTTAATCATGGTGTCTACATGTATAATTCAGAGACTATATTAAAGATATCATGAAAATAAATTAAGAAAATATTAGCTTGCATTTCAGATAAGAAACACCATCTGTTATAACTTGACATTAACAACTCAGAAGTTCTCTCAATCTTGCCCACATTATACTTGTAAAAATTCTATCTCACATTTAATCAAGTTCGATCAACAAAGCCAAATCGTACTTTAAATAAAACATGAATTTCAAAAGTGAGGTATAATTTAGAAATATACACTAAGAGAGCAACATGCAGGAAATTTAAAAACAAGAAAAACATAATAGTTTTTTCTTTTTTATGCAGAAAGCTTCTGTGGGTAAATGAGTTGTTATGTTAGACATTCAAGTTTTTAAAAATACCATACAACTACTGATAAACATGAACAAGGTTGAAATATGGTTCAGATCAAGTTAGAAAAGCAAACCACTAAAAATAAGTTTCCTACTCAAAGCTATTTCAGTCCAGCAAACATTTTCTCCCACAGCAGAAACAATACAAACTCACAGAGTATTTATAATCTAATAGCTTGTACAGTCTGCAATCCTCCAGAACCCAAACCAGAAGAATGTCAGAAAAACAACAAGGATAACAAGATGAACATCGCTAGGAGCAAACAGCAGCCATAAGCCTCTATCCATCAATTTCAGTGGCATAAAAAACAATAACCCAAACAACACAGAAAACAACCACCATGAAATCCTACTACATCATCGCACACAGAACTCAACCACGAACAGTCGGATTCAGCTCAAAACATGAGAAAATCCACAAACGAAGGAAAATATCAAGAAAATAAAAAAAGAATCATAAATACAGAACCGAATTCAGCTAAAATCGAACGATCTACCGGAAAAACGAAAGCCTGTACATGGAGCAACTATCAATCGTTACAGCACACAGACACCTTGAACTACGTGTTCCGTTGAAAACGTTCAACGTCGGAGGCGAATCCATACCTGTGTTGACGAAAAAACTGAAAGAAAAAGGACGGCCGTGCTAAGCTCAAGGGTTTCAGATTTGCAGAGAACGAATGAGAATATTAAGAGAGAGAAAATGGGANAAAAAAAAAAAAAGTAAAAAACACAATGTCAGAAAGGGCAATGAACGAGTCTCGACAAAAGGGCAAAATTCGAAAGTTTTTATTTGTTTATATCCTTTTTTTCATATATCCCTTCTCACTTATCATTGGTTATAAATACAGAATCTCCTTTTTTTCTCCTCCCTTTTCGTTATCGGCTGCAAATTTTTCGAATTCTACAAAACTAATTTTAAATATAATCATTATTTAACAAGTGGAGTAAACCACTTGTGTATTATATTATTAGTAAAAAAAAATTATTTAAATATAAAAATAAAATAAATACGAGAAAAAAATATTCTAAATCTCAAGTATATGTTAAAAAAATAAAGGGGTGAATCAAGATAATAGTTATTTAAAACTATTAACTTGAGACTTTAAATGTGGTTTCTAAGAAAATAAATAAAAGTCTTTAAATGTAAATAAATACTGATAAAAAAAAGTAAAATAAATATTGTTTCAGCGATTATAAAAAGTAAATAAAAATTATTTGACTATATACAAATATTGAAAAAGGGATGGAAAATAATAGTAAGTTTAAAAATTTATAACTAAAAAAATATTTGAATATATAAAAATTGAAAAAGAGATGGAAAATAATCGTAAGTTTTTATATTGTTATTTATGTTCGTGAGATAATTATTAATAATTAATACTGTTAACTATTAAATTGATAGTTTTCTACCTTTTAAATACTTGATAAATTTTAGCTTTTAGGTGCCTAATTGATAATTTATTCATCTTTTGAACTCCAAACTAATAGAAATTAAATTATTATTTAAATTTTAGCTTTTAGGTGCCTAATAAAATTTATCTTTAGACACCGTATCAATTAATTAACTCCTTTTTGGAGATCCAATTTCATATAACTACTAATATTAATTACTAATTTTTAAAGAGTATACAAAGAGGTATAGACCTATTAGCTATCGGCCAAATAGATTATGAAAAAAAGGAGAATTGTGTAAATTTGATTTCTTACTTTTAAGAGTTACAAAGGTTTAGATATATATAATACAAAAGTATCTTCCTTTTCAAGAAACTACCTAATATACAAGACTAACTTAATATACAAGAAAGACCATAAATAATTAAGATTTGATTTTATAATGATCATGTAAATCTCGAATGATATCTCGAATACTCCCCCTCAAGTTGGAGCATGAAGATCACAAATGCTCAACTTGCAGAGTATAAAATGAAAGCGATCACGTTCGAGGGCTTTAGTGAAGATGTCGGCAAGCTGAAGACGAGTGAGGACGTATTTGGCAACTAGTTCACCAAATTGAATGCGCTCCCGAACAAAATGACAGTCAATCTCGATATGTTTTGTGCGCTCGTGTGAACTGGGTTGGCCGATATATGAAGGGCCGATTGATTGTCGCAGAGCAGACGAATGGGACCAGAAAGTGTGACACCGAGCGAAGAAAGCAAAATGCGAAGCCATATAAGTTTGCTTGCAGTTACTGTCATTGAACGATAATCTGCTTCGGCAGACGAGCGAGAAACAGTTGTTTGCTTCTTCGTGCGCCAAAAGATCGGACAACCGCCAAAGGTAAGGAAGAAGCCTGTTGTGGAACGCCGCGTGAGGAGACAACTGGCCCAGTCAAAGTCACAATATCCAGTTAACTCCAATAAAATCGGTCGTCGGAGTAGGATGCCTTGTCCCGGACTATGCTTTAGGTAGGGAATAATGCGTAAGGCGCATCCCAATGGCTCTCCCTCGGCTGTTGCATGAATTGCGCGAGTAAATGGACTGAGTAGCACAACTCAAGATGCGTGATGGTCAGATAGAGAAGGCGACCAATTAGTTCACGAAACCGCGACGGGTCCGTCAGTAAGGGACGATGGAATCTGCGAGTCGAGTCCGTTGTTCCATGGGGAAAGTTGCCGGTTTCGCGGCTGTGAGGCCGCAATCAGATAAGATCTCCAGTTTATACTTTCGCTGGGAAAGAATCAAACCATCGCTGGTGCGGACGATCTCGATGCTCAAAAAATACTTCAGCGCCCCTAAATCCTTGATCTTAAAATAGGTAGCAAGATAAGATTTAAAACTCGAGCAACGAACCGAATAATTACCAACAATAATGAGATCATCAACATAAACGAGGACCACTAAGATATCGGCACCCGAATGAAAAGTGAACAACGAATATTCAGCCTGTGACTGTTGAAAGCCATAAGTACAGAGTGCCAAGGCAAATTTAGCAAACCAATTACGTGAGCCTTGTCGCAAACCATAAAGAGACTTGCAAAGTTGACATACTGAATTACAGGATGATGAATTGTATCCGGGAGGAAGTCGCATGTAGACCTCATTCTCCAAATCACCGTGAAGGAAGGCGTTGTTCACATCCATTTAGTGAAGACTCCAATTCTTGGCCAAGGCGACAGTGAGGAGGCACCGAACGGTCGTCATTTTTGCCACTGGGGCAAAAGTCTCATGAAAGTAGAGGCCCTCGATTTGTGTAAAGCCCTTAGCCACCAATCGGACCTTGAAGCGCTCAATGCTACCATCAGAGTGACGTTTGATCTTGTACACCTATTTACAACCAATGGGTATCTTGCCAAGAGGGAGAGGTTCGATAGTCCAGGTGTCATTGTCTTCAGGAGCACAAATTTCGACATTCATCGCATCATGCCAGCGAACATCCTTAACAGCGACTGAATAGGACCAGGGCTCAACCTCATAATCAAGTGCAGCTAGGAAGGCCAAGTGAGACTAAGAAAAACCATTATAATTGACAAAACGCTCGAGTGGGTAGACCGTACCTGAAGAAGTCGATGAAGCGGGTATGGGACAAGAGAGGGTCGGCATAGCCAAGTAACAATGGTAATCATTGAGGCGGGCAGGCGGGTGACGTGGGCGAGGTGGTCGTCGTGGATGATGCGGTTCGGCAGGCGCAGCGGTGCTCGCTGGTAGCTCAATCAGGGGCTCTGGTGGAGCCACGACCATCGGAGTGGAGAGCTCAGTTGGAGGCTCTGGTGAAGCCATGGTCGTCTAAGTGGCGAGATCAGTCGAATTGAGAGAAGCATGTTGTGCAAGTGGGCACCAACGTGTTTGGATCAGACGGGTTGGGCCAAACAGGGTTGTGGTTCTGTAGAGGGCCAGCCGGGCCGACTGTTGATAAACGGATTTGATCAACGTAATCAATGAAAAATTAACACGAAGTTTGCAGAAAATGAGAATTTTATTGAAGATTTTAAAGTCGGTTACAGAGTAAGGAAGTCGGTTTTTCAATGTACACCAAGTCGGTAAACAAGGAAAGCACCGAGTTGAATATATGCGTGTTTATCAGTTTTGCCGAATCCTTGTATCGTTTTCGAAGCTGCTATTTATAGCTATGCTCGGCACACATCCCTAGACAAATCATTTCCGTTTTAATGAAGATTTGACAACTTAGGAGCGGCGATGACGTGGTGAACCTTTTAGGTAATGATTAGCATGGGCACGCCTCTATCTGTGTGACGAGTGTCACATCTGTCGGATTGAAGTCGGTTCGTCTTGCGATGTCGGTGCTTTGACAGACTTTCAGCATTCTACGACTTCCTGATAAATTATTCTTCAACCGAGTTGGTCCTTTCAAGGTTAAAATGACTTGCGTTGACGACTTTCGAAGATTTGCGGTATCATTCACAAGTACCGAGATGAGATTACCGAGGTGCCATTTATTCTACCTGACTTCAGGCAAGATCCAGTTTGCGGATTAAACTTAAGATTTCTTTAATCGAACCATAATTTCAAGATATTCTATCTTGATATCAACATAGAGGCCCCTGGCATTAAGAAGTATGCAGATGATGCATACTTTTTGATGACACTTTCCATCCAATCGTTTTTTGTTCCCGAGTTTGATCTATGGATCTTTCACACAAGTTTATACCGAGTTATTTCCCTTAGACAAGAATCACATCTTTTGGGCTCCTTTACCAAAGCCGTTTCACACTGTAAGAAGTTAATTGAGCGGTTTGCGAGAGGTCACGAACGTGTTGTCTCCAATACTCTTCTCAATGAGCACGTACCGAAATTTCCGGATATTAATATTGGCGGTTATGAGACACGCGTATGTACGAGATTATATCTGAACGGTATGTCACAGTAAAGAGACACTTCCCTCAAGCGACGCGTCATTTAATCACGCGCCTCTCCATCTTCAACGGTTAGAAAATTTTGAGTATATATATACAGAGAAGTTCATGGTTTTTCTCCACTAAATCTTCATTAAAGCAACTGTTTGTCTCTCTAACTGTCTCTCTTATATTTCGCCTCTCCTCTTTTATCTTCTGCATCATATTTCAGCAAATCCCGAACCCTTTGAAAGTTTGCATCACTTTTCGGTAAGCCCTAATTTCTTCTTTTTACTTTATAATTTCTTTGTGTCGTTTTTTTGAGTTGAAGTTATGGCGATGAGTGGTGAGAACGTCGGTCAGGGCAGCAGCAGTTGAACTGTGTCGGATATGAGGTTGGATGAGGAGTTGATGGAGTTGATGGGGGATTATTACCGGTGGGATCCGGTTTTTGTGGAACGCCTAGACATTCGTAAACGTAATGTTGAGGGAGATGCCGAGGTGGAACGGGATGTTCCTGTGAGGTCGGGTTATTGCAATCGTCCTGCCCGTCAATGGCCCGACGAAGATGTTCCGTTTTTGGGGGAACCCAGTACCATGACCGACGCCGACGTAGTTCTCCTCCGCGAGTTGGTACGAATCCCTACCTCGGTGAGGATCTTCGCTCCTTATCCGGGAGAAAGGATTCATTGTCCTCCTCCGGGTTGCGTAGGGATTTTTGCCGAAAGTTTGAGGTCGGGCTTGAGATTCCCTCTGGACAACGTCATAACCGACTACTTGCGTGATTGGGGTCTCAGTCTTAGTCAAATCACCCCCAACAGTTGGAAGAAGATTATAGGAATTATGGTTTTTTTGGCGCAAAAGAAAGTCCCATTCCCCACAATTGATGAAATGAGAAGTATTATGCTCTTCAAGAGGAGTAGAGAACGTGATGGAGTTCCCCCAACAGGTTGTTTTTTCTGTGCGGCGAGGCCGCAATACGAATTGAAGATAGGACAGTTGATTACTGGGATACCTGAGACCCTTCATGGCTTCCAAGACGAATGGTTATGGGTCGGTGGAGACTGGCAGTCTCCCGACTTCCGACTTGAGGCACCAATTGATGGGA